TTGTGATGGAGTCTGTCCTGAGAACTCCGTAAGTCAGAGAGCAGGAACTAACCGTTCATGAAGGTACCAGAGTTAAAGGAACACCTACAAGGAGGCAGGACTGGGAGGCCCTGGGGGCACAAACAGGTAACAGGTTGACAGCTGGAGGTGCCAGTCCACCCAGAGGGGCCTTGCAGGAAAGGCCTGGCAACCGACTTTCAGATAGCCACTGAAGCCCCAGGGGCAGAGTTCAGCCCCGACACAGGCTGCCCGCGTCAGAGGGACTGCAGGTGACTGTTGGCAGTGGCACTGGGTTACTTGGGTTTTGCCCTTTACTGCCTGGGGGGCTCTCACCCAACAACTTCCCTGAGCCCTCGCCTGTGCAGTACCTGCTTCCTGGCTCCTGGGGGCTGACCCGAGCTAGTGCTAGCGAATACACCAGAGCTCTACCTAAATGAACCCGTTTCAACTATGGGCACGCTTGACAGCTAGGGAAACCGAGGCACAGAGGAGCTACCCTGAAGCAGCCCTGCTCGTCCCTGCTCCGCTACAGCGGTGCCTCTGGGGACAAGGCCGAGGCACGAGGCGCTATGCCTGGCAGAGGACGGGGACGCTCGGTAGGGGTTGTGGGTTGCCTAGTGAGGGAGAGGTGGAACCCAATGGGGGTTGGGCCGGGGTAGAGTGTTTTAAGATGGAGAGGAGAGGGCAGCCCGCCTGCAGCCTCCCAGGCCCTCCCGACAGCCGCCCTGTGCAGGGCAGCGACCCGCGGCACCTCCCCACCCAGTCATACCCAGGCTAAGACAAGTCTGAGTAAGACTCCTTTTTCTTGCTTTGATAACAAGAGAACTGCAGGGCACTGCTGGTCCCTACCGAGTGGCAGAGGGGAAGCGTGCGCCCTCCCGGAGGTGCAGCCTGGCGGAGTGAGCGAGGCCCCCTGGTGCTGCAGGAAGCCTGGGCGGCAGAGCACAGAGGGCTCTCAGTAACTAGGCAGGAGATCCCCTCCCAGAACCCAACAGGACGCGGCCACCAGTCTTTCATTCACTGCTCACTATGGGGCTCTGGCTAGAAGCAATAAAAGCACTTTAATTTAGTACTTTTCAGTTTGGAGGGTCATTACAGTATCATTTAACGTCAAGCATGGCCACAGGTCCCAGGAAGCCCCGAGAAAGTGTGTCTGTCTGGAGCAAGGGGGACGGAGCCCAGAGGCCGGTGTATTCTGGATCCTGAGCCTGTGGGGTGGGCGGCCTGGAGGGGCCCGAGGTGGGATACCCTGCATTCCACCCTGTGTCCTGTTTCCAAACACTGAAAAGTGATGTGAACCGTTTCCTTGGAAAGGTGACCCTTCCATAGTGTTTTGGACGGGGGCAGCCTGTTTGTTGCCAGCGCTGATTCCGACCAGGTGATGGCCATTCCCCTCATCTCAACTGTTTCAGAGAACCAGCCACAGTACAAAGAGCACAGGGCTAAGCTGCTGGCTCAGAGTCAGACACTACGGGTCAGCTGTCTGCTGGCCAGCCACTTGTCCTGCCTCGTAAACAGGAAACGGGGCCGAACCCAACAGGAGGGTACCCATCACCCAACAGAAGCTCGCCCGGCCCGATGAGCACGACTGGATGGGATCCAGCCTCCATCGAGCCAGTGGGCAGGAGGGGCTCTTAACCAGCCGCCCCAGAGCTGTCCTGTCTTCTCTCATCACCAAATCCCTGTTGGTACCGACATGGGGAGTCCAGACGCTAGTCCCTGTTACGGGTCCCGCAGGCCCAAGGAGCAGGAGGGCTCCTGTCCTGTGGCAGCCGGTGAGCAGGCCGGGCTGGGCTGTGCGGCAGCTGCCTGAGGTGGCCCTCTGAGCCTGTCTAGACCAGTCTGCTAGCCCTCCCGGCAGTGGCAGAGGAGGGAACTGTCTGGAGCGGGGTGTGGCACCCTTCCTAGTGAGCCAAACGTCGCCTCGATCCTACTTGTGACTTCACCACCGATGTTAATGGTGCAGGGAGGCTGGCAGTGGGGGCTGGGGTGGGTGGGGTGGCAGGGAGGGACTGCGGGTCGAGTGCCCACTGGGCCTCCCCTCCAGCCGGGAATGGCACCGTCAAAAGAAGAGCCTCTCACAGATCCTGCGTGTGTCCTCGGGCGCCGTCACGGTGTAGCCCACGGTCCTGGGGTCTGTGAAGATCTCATGGTCGTTTCCGCCCTGCAGAGACAGGAAGCACACAGCTACAGCCTCACCCACTTGCCCAGGGCCACCGCTGCGACCCGAGAGAGGCCCTCGAATGAGGAACTTCAGGCGGTACTGGCCCGGGAAACACTTTCCCAGTCACCTGTTTCCAGGACAGGAACACCACGTGCACAGTCACGACTGAAAAGGTTTCGTGACCTCTCCCTGAACTGCAGTTCTGCCTGGAACACGCAATTACCCCTCTGACAGAAATCACTGTTCTGGTGAGGATCACCCGTCTGCGGTGCACTCTTCTATGAAGACAGCCAGGCGTCTTGAAAGGCCAGCATGACAGGTACCAGGATTCTGACGGCTGTCAGTCTGTTCCCACTGTGCCCAGGCTTTCCTAACAAGACCCAGAGCATGTGAGGAGGGCAGGACAGTGCAGTGCAGCGTGCTGGAACTTCCGGCGAGGACCCACGGAGGAGCTGTGTACCTGTACTTCCCCAGGGAGCACTTCCAGTGTGGTTAGGGAGACAGCTCAGCCTTTGACTGTACCCGATTTAAACAGCCCCTCGTGGCTAGTTCTTGGAGCCAGATGGCCAGGGTTCAGGTCCCGGCTCTACCACGGACTGGTAGTGGCACTGTGACAGCAGGACCCACCCACAGCAGAGGTGAGGAGCTGGTGAGCCAGCTGGGAGGGGCTCTGGGGCAGATGAGGCGGCTTCGTGAGCGTTTCCACGTCATTTCAGCTCCCGGAAATGGACGAAGAACAAGGCAAGGGCCCCAACTGGTGAGCTCATTCTAGGCCACTGTCCCCCAGGGTCTGGTCCTGGGAAAGTGTGTGTCTGGTTCACACTAGGTTGTAGCCCCCTCCCCCCACACCTGGGCCACTTAACTGTCATCAGGGAACTCAAGCCCTCAGGGAAATCTAACAAAATGGAACAGTCTCCTCAAGCCCTTGAGAAGAACAATCAATGTATGATACGTGGAAAGAATGGGCCTCCAAGACATAGCCCTTAGACACCCTCCAGGCCTGGAACCAAACTCACCCCCCCCACTCAACTTTCAGCCAAACCACAGACAGGCCTGTGAGGTGACCGGCACCGCCAGGGAGACTAACGTGCTGTCAACTCTCACCCAAACCACAATGAAAAGTTTTTTAAAAAAAAAAAAAAAAAAAAAAAAAGCAAATAATGGGGTTTCTGGTGGTACAAACAGTTAAGGGCTTGACAACTGTCCAAAAGAGGTTGGTGGTTTGAACCCACCTGGGCGATCTGTTTCCAAAAGGCCACAGCTTTGAACGCCCCACTCTGCACACACAGGGGCACAAGGAGTGGGAACGGACTCCATGGCAACTAGCCACAATGGTGACGATGAGGACAGGAACTGCGGGAAAGTGGCTTTCCCTTACAAAGTGTCACAGGGAGCAGCTGAGATCCTGCCTTTGAAAGCACTGATTGGCACCTGAAATTACTGCTGTCTCATTTTGGTAAAGACAGCCTGTCCCCAACAGACTGCTCCCGCGGGTGGAGGTGAAGTTCAAGGCTGGGAGGTAGGATGCTGGAGGGGCCGGGTGGGAGGCGCTGAGACCTGGGCCCTGTAAGGGGCCCCACTGTCAGAGCCCATGCTCTGCACCAGCGTCTGCTGCCGTGAGCCGATTCCAGAAATCCTTTTCATTCTTTTTTCTAATTGTGATTTGGGTGAAAGTTTACAGAGCAAATTCACTTTCCACACAGCAGCTCAGTACATTGTCTCGTGACATTGACTATAATTTCCCACAATGCAACAGCTCCCCTCCCACTTCCTCCCCATAGTTACCTCTTCCCTGTGTCCTTCCCTCCACGCACTCCTGCCCCCTGAGCTGTCTCCCTGTGCATAAGCAGCCCTTCTACTCTCTCTCGTTCTCTCCAAGGAGTGTATCTACCCATTGTAAATGTTCAGCTCACATGCCTGTCTTATGTTTGGCTGGAAGCCACAGGAGTAGGTTCAATTCCAGACCTGAAGGGCAGCTAGGGGCCATAGTCTCAGGGGTTCCACCAGGCTCTATCAGACCAGCAAACTGGTCCCCACCTTTTTTTTTTTTTAAATGATTCTGAGTTTTGTCCCACATTGTTCTCCAGCTCTATCCAGGATCTCCTCCGAGTTGATTTCAGAAAGCCTTACGATGAAGGTCAGACTTGGCCTAGGGATGGCACGGTGGGCAATCTCCACAGAGAACCTAACGGAATGGACCGACTGCAGGCTCCTGGAAACCGGACGCCCGCGGGACACGTTCACTCCTCCCAGGGGAAACCTGCGCTTGGGAAACGGCCAGCGCCACAGAGGGTGACCCAGCGGCTTTCCCTGGGCACCTGCCACCTTCCAGCCTGTGTCAGGAGCTGGGAGGGGGGGGGAGCAGAGCAGAACGAGGGCATCTCCTAAGCTAACAGAAGCCGGGAGGCCACACACCAGTGAGCATGCTATGCTCTGTCAGCAGGGACGTGCGCGCAGCAGGGGTCAGGGAGTGGCCAGGGGACAAGGCGGGGCTTGAGCAGTGACCAAGGGCTGCCTCCTGAGCTGCCTCCAGCTATAAACCAATGACCGTGTCATACTCTGCATGGAGACATCAGGGGTCAGGGAGCAGCTGGGGTGACAAAGTGACCGGTGACAAGGCTGGCCTCCAGCAGAAGCCTGAAGTGAGGGCAGGGGCACGTGACTGCCCAGCGGGGAGGAGGTGGAGAGCCAAGCAGAGGGGCACGTGCTCAGGGTGGCAGAACTGGGCAGTCCTGGGGGGGAGGGGGAGGGGCCTTGGAACCCACCAGCCACTCCATGGAGGAAGATGTACAGCCTTGGAAACCCAGTGAGGGTCGCTGAGTCAGAATGGACGTGACGGCAGTTCTTTTTTTGGGGGTGGGAGGAGACGCGCAAGACCTTACAGGAGGATCTCTGGGGGGTATGGATTGAGGGCCCTGGGGCAGCAGAGAGCAGTCAGCCAGGGTGGGCCTAGGCCAGAGCCGTCGCCTGGAGAGGGACCTCCCAAGCTAAGAGTGTATACTCGTCCTGGACAGCTCCCTGCCGGCCCTTCCCCAGAGGCTGTGCCACGCAGGACAGCTGTGCACCGACCCAACACCAGGTCCTGGGAATCCACCTGCCCTGCAAGGGGGTCGACCTGACTGCAAGCATCATCGGTGGCAGCAGCAGGCAGGTTAGAGTGTCCCCGGGCCACTGGCCCACCCACTGTCGAGGGCACCTTCCCAAGGGAACATGCAGCCCAAACCCAACCGCCCGGCCTCTGGCCTCCTCCTGTGACTCCTGGGGAGGCGTGGGGTTTCCGTCCTGCCCACAGAGCTGTCACACCAGAGGGGGTGGGAGTCGAGGAGAGGCAGACCCGCTGAGGGGTCAAAGAGTGACAACCGCAGGGATAATCAGGCTCAGAGAAGCGGACCTTCCCAATCCGGGATTTGCATACGCACTGAAGGGAACTGGGTTCTGGCAGGGCACACCCAGCCCCCTAAGTCCCCAGAAACAAAAACCGCTTCTAGACAGAGGACAAAGGCCGGCAGGGGGTGGGGCTCACACCCCATCAGTGTAGCTGACAGGCAGCAAGCGTGCAGGGAAATCAGCCGTTAGATTTCCATTTCTAAAAGGCCAGGGTCTGAGAGGAAACAAAAGGCACAGTATTTGCTTTTGTTCAGATGTGGGGGTGGGGCTGGGGTTCAGGAGTCTGTGCCCAGCCACCTCCCATCTGCACACGTGGTGCTGGCTGGTGTGAGCTGTGCAGTAGAAAACCCCGACCTCCTGCCGTATGAGCCGGAGAGGACGAGGTCAGGGCGCCCACTGTCTGTCCTGTAAGACACAGGAAACCCCGACCTCCTGCCGTATGAGCCGGAGGGGACGCGGTCAGGGCGCCCACTGCCGGTCCTGTAAGACACAGGAAACCCTGATCTCCTGCCGTATGAGAGCCAGAGGGGACACGGTCAGGGCGCCCACTGTCTGTCCTGTAAGACACAGGAAACCTGACCTCCTGCCGTATGAGAGCCAGAGGGGACGTGGTCAGGGCGCCCATTGTCTGTCCTGTAAGACACAGGAAACCCTGACCTCCTGCCGTATGAGAGCCAGAGGGGACGCGGTCAGGGCGCCCATTG